ACCTAATGATACATGACCGCACGGAAAGCACTGTCTGGGAACCTAACCCTCTATATATATATATATATATATATATATATATATATATATATATATATATATATATATATATATATATATATATATATATATATATATATATATATATAGGGACGCACTCAGGTGCGAATAAGTGCCCAGGAAGGAAATGCGAACGAATCAGCGCGTGACACGTGTCCAGATCTAATAACTTAAAAAAAACGCGGTGGCATTTTCGTAAATAATTGAATATCGAAGTGCAAGTAAAATCTCTTATAAATGCACCTATTTTCACTTATAAGTGCATGTAATTTTTGCCTTGTTAGCATTCACTTTCCGCAACCATTCATGCACCTGGGTGTGCTTATAACTATATGTGCAACTATTTATAACTATAGGTGCAACTACTTATAACTATCTGTGCACCTACTTTCACCTATAAGTGCATGTAATTTTGTCTTGTTAACATTCATTGATCTGAGTTCAGCGGGTAGTAATACTCCTAAAAACCACTCGCAAACATTCATACACCTAGATGCAACTACTTATACCTATGTGTGCAACTACTTAGAACTATAGGTGCAACTACTTAGAACTATAAGTGCAACTACTTAGAACTATAAGTGCAACTAAGTATTGATGCTCAGTGTAAATTTTTACTTGCACCTATAATACATTTTACATGCACTTGTAATACATTTTACTTGCACTTCGATGTTCAATTATTTACAAAAATGCCACCGCGTTTTTTTAAAAAATCAGTGTTTCTCATCCATTAGATCTGGACACGTGAACAAACAGAATCCATTCCTATTTCGCGCCTGGACGAGCTCGCGCCTGGGCGAGCCGTTCGCACCCGAGTGCAACTCTATATATATATATATATATATATATATATATATATATATATGTGTGTGTGTGTGTGTGTGTGGGTGTATACGCATCCAGGCCGGCCACATGAACTATATATATATCCCACGTTGGCTGTGTGTCACATGCCAGATTGTACAGTTTGGTGGTGGAAAATGTCGGAATCCTGGCCACATAACAGATGAGAAGAAAAATGAAAAGAAAAGAAAAAGTAATGTCAGTCTTAATCAAACAACTCATGCCAGCATGTACGCACACAATCAATTATTAATATAGTAGTGGGAACATACATACTTACATAGTTACATATGACAGATCAAAAAAGCAAACATATAATGGACAGCGCTCCTGCGAGTATATGATATTGTACGTACTCTGTTGCCCCCATCACCTCTTCACACTTGAGAGAGGCAATACATATAATGATACGATGTTGGAATATTACACTGATTTCCAGCGTGTATCTTAGTTCAATTCGATCACATTATTGTATATATGTTATTATATCTAACATCTGCATGGGACATCTTTTAGCTAGCTAGTACTGTGTGTAGGATACAGTGAGTGGAAGCATTAATATAATGGGGAGATTGTGACTCCCTTTGCTAATTATTGGTCCTAATGGGGAGATTGTGACTCCCTTTGCTAATTATTGCTCCTCGAGGTGTCGGGTTTTCATACTGTTATGTAATGTGTGTGTGTGCGTGCGCGCTCAGCAATTTGAACCCTGCATGAAGTAAGATCCTTGAAAATAAGCATTCTTGTAAATCGTGTCTTATTGTCCTACAAACATATATTATGTCTTATTCCTACAGCATTCTTGTAATATTCTAGCTTAATCCATTAAATATCACTACGATTATCACTCTTTACCATTTTATCTGGCCCCTATATTTTATGCGAGCTAAATTGATTCATTTAGCGTCCAGCTCAATTAGTTCCATCTATCACTAAGGTTTTAATATGTGTTCGAGTATTGTGGCCTGATGTCACAATTAAGTCAAATAGCCAATTAAGTGTAATGAAGATGGATGAAAGAATAGTGACAAGTGCAGGTTTTGGGCATCATCGGATTAGTGAAGATGAAACAAGGCGGGTATAAAATTGTGCCCCTCACAGTAGTTAAGTTAGTTTTTGAGTGAAAGATTGCATCTAATCCTGGTGATATATTCAATCTTTGCAGCCACACTAGGTAAAGTGTTTTACATTTTCTGTAGAAATATAATAGTTCATTATAAACACTTATACTGGTCCTTTTATATAAGATGCCGCTAGATCACCCTAATTTAATAATATCTATAGGATCGGAGTGTAGGGTTCACAAAAAATTTCTCCTTTTGCACCCAAGCTATAAGAGACGTTGGCGTCTTCATGATTCGGACTAGTGGAAACCGGCGAGTGCAATTGAGTTATTGAGTGATGCAACCAAAAGAGGGAAGGTGTAATAATGATGAAAGCACATGCATGTTACATACCCTCCATCTTCATTAGGAGTACTATATATATTGAACCTGACAAAACTGTCCCTGCTGCCACATTAATTTGTCCATTTCTATTGCCATTTCTGGAGGGCAAAACTGACCCCTTCCCCCACTAAACTAAAAGTTTGCACTCCAAATTTCAAAGATTTGGTGAAAGAGTTAATCTCAAAATGTATATTGACAGCTTTTAAGTTTCTCAAAATGCATGCTTATTACTTCAATATGATTCAAACCAACATACTATGTATCCTAGTAAAATGACTTAATACTCAATATAGTGTTCGAATATAGTGATTTTACTCAATTTAGTCTTAAATAATTTTTTGTGCTCAATTTAGTCCTCGAATTTGATGGTTATACATAATTTAGTCCTTTGTTAAAAATTCTATTAGTTGACTATTAGAAATAGGGTTTGAATGGTAATTTCTTATCTTTCATCTCATTTGAGATGATTCATTCTTCTTTCCCTTATTATGTTCCACGCATAAATGCAAATCTTAGTACCCAAATCAACTTCAACCCACGCAGAAATAAATATTTGTCTAACCTTCCGTTCTTAAGGGGGTTGAAGTTTATTTTGGTACGAAGATTTGCATTTCTACCTAGATGAATCATTCCAAATAGATGAAGGATGAGAAATTACAATTAGGATCCTATTTTTAACAGTCAACTAACAAAATTTTTAACAAATAACTAATTTGTGTAAAATCATCAAAGTCAGAAATTAAATTGAACACAAAAAATTATTTACAAAGACTAAATTGAGTAAGACCACTATAGTCTATAACTAATATATTAGGTATTAACTCCTAGCAAAATAGTCCATCGACCTTTTACTTTAGAGTGCTCATATATAGTGTATTGTGTATTGGGGGTAGGGGGGAGAAAAAAGAAATACCAAAAAAGTCTAGAAATTTGGACGAAATGGCCACATGGTGTCTTGACGGGTTAAGATTTTGCATTCCAAATTCGAGACTTCCATCCGTCATTTCTACATTGGTGGAGTTAATCACAAGATGTATCTTGACGGGTTAAAGTGATTGCTGGTACACACAACATAACAAATCCAAACCCCCTTGCACATTATATATACTAACAAAACAAATGTAAGTGTACAAATGATACACATTTTACTTTATTATAATTGACTAATTTATTTGATAAAAGTTAGATTTTAATTTGATTTAATATTGGATCGTACCCCTATCTGGATTTATCTCAACGTTCTGTCTCATGAGTTTATTCAGTCTGAATCAAGGTTAGCGCATCTCGGCATGATTCCCTAACAAAATTCAGTTGTGCTAAACTAGTTTTCAGCCTAAATTTAAATGAGTGGCTATCGTTTGTTATTGGATTTTTGGACAGCATTTCTTAAGGGAAATTGGTTACACCATTTCAAGTATAAAAGGGATGGTTTACTATATTAGTATTCACGGATTTCCTAAGCTAGAATTTAAAGGATTATCTATCTATATTAAACAATTTATATCAGGTTACAAACATGTATTAAGCTGGTGATATCTTCGTGGTTATCTTCCTGAAGCAGGTTCAATGTATCTTCTTGAAGTAGGTTCAGCGCAGTTGAAGCATGATGGTGTATTTCGGCATGCACGTTCCTTTACAATAATAGATGTTTTGAAAATTAAGTTAATTTATGTGGCTGATGTCTTTTGTATACAAACCCCTAATAATCTTGGTGAACATCAAGTAGTGGATTGGACTGACGTGAGTTGCCCCGCAGACGTAGAAGTTTAGCTCTGAACTGCGTAAATAATTGTTGTGATCTTGGTTCTGCTTTCTTATATTTGAATTTGTTTTTTCCCATTCGAAAAATAATTTAATTAATGGTAAGTTAATTTGCTAACTAAAATCAAGTAGAATTTTTAGGTTTCAACTTGTATTTACGGTTCAATTTCAACAAGCTATTGACATTACTTTAGATTGATCATATATAGTGTATTGTGTATGAGGGAAGGGGAAGAAAAAAGAAAAAGAGATGTTCAAAAAGGTCTAAGAATTTGGATCAAATATCTATAAAAAAAGAATAATAAAAAAATCAAAAGATGAAACTCATTCAATAAAGTGAAAGAATTGAAAACTCATTCAAAAATGAATGCTATATTTGCAAGAGTGTAGTGCATCATGAGATACTAGTAGAAATTAGTAAACAAACATCACCAATGACTAAAATTCTTTGATTTACAAAAAAGTCTGTATGGACCACAATTGCTATGTCAAAGAAGCTCAATAGTTAACAAGTTCAAACAGGAAAATTAATAAGCCACAAATTCTTTGATTTACAAGAAAGTCTATACGGACCACAATTACTACGTCAAAGAAGTTAAATAGTTAACAAGTTCAAACAGAAAAACTAATAAGCCACAAATTCTTTAATTTACAAGAAAATCCGTACAAACAACAATTGCTACATCAAAGACAACAATTGCTACATCAAAGAAGCTCAATAGTTAAAGGTTCAAACGGAAAAACTAATAAGCCACAAAGATCATTATTCTTCTGAATAGTTATAGTAGAATGCGGTGAGACATTCCCATTTAAACAGAACACGAACTCTACAAACAATAATTTTATGCTAGAAATTTTAATTTTTGTATTCTATATATACTCATATTTTGAGCAAAATCAAGGAAAAACATTACATAATTTACAATTACATCGTACCCCTGCAGTAACTTAAGCAAAATTTACCACTCACAAATGGAAGAAAGTAAAACAATGAGATGTTACTTAATATATATATATTATATATATATGGTTTTATTATTTTGAATATTTTCATTGTATTACTCTTACATGAAGATTGAAGAATGAGTTAGTAACAAGGAAAAAATATTTGATTTTTGGTAAAAAAAAAAAAAAAAAAAAAAAATGTTTAACTTTTCCAAGCATAGACCAGCAATGAGAATCCCGGAGGGCCCTTGAGGTCATTCTCTTCTGTGCTGGCCCACTCCATGACCGAACTACAGCTGGACGACGCCGACGACAGCGAAGACGACGACGAGCTTCTCGCCGTCCGGAGCAAACCCTTCTTCATCATCTTCGTCTCGAACCCGAATCCGCAGCTGTTGACCGCTTTCCGGGCGGTTAGGTGGTTCAAGTAGTCACAGTCTTCGTCTCTGAAGCTGCTGTGCTTCTCGAATTTGAACATGAAGAGGGCGTAGCCATCTTCGTCGTCCTCGAACAGCCAGTTGTGGACGTCCCAGGAGACGTGGATGGGGATTCCGTCGATCTCGATTCGCTCGTTGCCGCGGAATTTCCACTTCAAATGCTTCACTTGGAGGACCCTTTTGTTGTCCACGTAGAAATACAGCCTCGGGTCGTCGCCGGCGAGGCGGCAATCGATGGATATGTTTCGCTCCCGCCCGCCGACGGTGGCTCTGGTGATGTACAGTTTGCCGCCGTAGACGTGTTCCCTCCTTAGCACCATGGCTTGGCCGGCGCCGGCGCCAGTGGCCGGAAATTTCGCTCTGGTTTTGGAATACGCTTCTTTTTGGGAGTCCCCGACGAGGAGGACCATTTCGCCGTCGATGACAATGGCGATGTAGAATCCGGATCTGGGTTCGGGTCCGGATCCAAACTTTGCCCTGGAAAGATCCCAGAAGATATGGGCAGTCTTGATTTTTCCGCCGCCGCCGCCGATTTGGAGCCTTTTGGATCCCTGCCTTTTCCAGAAGATGAAGGGCTTGATGTGGAGATGAAACGATGGAGTAGCGGAGAGAGAAGCAAACGACGCCGTACTGACCGCGTCTTCGTCTTCCTCCGCCGGCGAATCGTCGAGCGCGAAATGGAGGTGAAAAGACCGACCAAGGATGCTGCGGGACCAAGTAAGGGCAAATAGACCCAACTGGGTGTGGTAAAGAGAGGTAGCGAGCGTGGGAGCAGCGGGAAGCGGCGGCGCCACCTTGGAAGACCGATTTCCGCCGGCTAATGCGGCGGAGGAGCCATTGGGGCGAAAACAAGAAGGAGAAGGGAAAGGAGAAGAGTGGTGTTGCTTTGCTAACATCTTCAAATCAGAATGAGAGATGTGATGTGATGTGAGGAGAAGGAGAGTTTATATGGGTCGGTGAAGGAAGAAGAGTCCTTCCTTGGGAGCTCTGTACCTGCGAAAGGCCAAAGGAAGAAGAAGAAGACCCAGTCTCAGGGCAAGCCTCTCCACTCTCCAACCAGTTTTATAATTACAAATCGGAAACCCAATTATATATAATCTATACTATAATACATTTCCTAGTAAAATATATTATTTTCTACTTTCTTATTTCTAATAGAATATGTTGTTTCCTATTTCCAATTCTCCATTAATTTTTGTTAAATTTACTAAATTTTAAATTTCCTATTCCTAATAAAATATGTTGTTTCCTATTTTCAATTCTCTATTAATTCTCTGTTAAATTTACTAAATTTTAAATTCTCATTAAAACTCAATTGTCTGGCTAAATATTAAGATTTAAATAAAAAATCCTTAAAAACATACATGCTTAATTCTCCGGCATGTATCTTCCTACAATCACATGAAAGAAACCTAATTCCATGCAACACTAATAAACCTAGTTAAAATCAAACTCAATCTCACCTATAAATATAGCACAAAGCCCGACTCTCTATCACCAAAACTGAAATAGAAGATTGAGGAAGAGCAATTTGGAGCTTGACTTTTCAATTAGGTAAATTTATATTCTCACGTTTTCCTTTATCAGACAAGCCTTTATCTGCAGGGTAAGAAAAAGACTTGCAAATAACAATACAACTGCAACGAATAAGAAAAATTGCCCGGTTCGTTAGAGTGGTATTTTCATCGTTCATTGAAAATCTGTCATTCCTAAAGATTAATGCTCCATTCAGGAACCATACTGGATTGTTGACGGAGATTGTCTATTGCTTCATTATTCTCATGTATTTGCATAAATTGATAGAGAAAAGGCAAAAATGACTGTTCACAACAGATGATTCAATGATTAAATTCTTACTGCATTGAGTGTATGATTTCATGTCCACCACGTGGTTAAATGCGCACTACGCACTACCCACAACAAACATATACATACCTATTTATATTGCAATGTTAATTGATGAACTTGGTAATACTATTGCAGTGTTAACCGTTTTAAAATTTTTATTGCATATATTATTCTATTTTTTTAGAATATTGTTAATTTTTTTGTCTATATCATATGTCTGTGCATCGCATATATTTTCCCTGTGTGATGAATTAAACACAGACCGTTCAATTTTTTTATAATTACAATTAATTATTTGATTATATATATATATATATATATATATATATATATATATATATATATATATATATAGTTATAATAATATGAGAACAAAATAAATTACCATTCTCATTATTCCATGTAATTTATATGGTAATTTTATGTTATTCTCTATATATATTTTTTATTCATAAGGTGTAATAGTATAATTGCACAATATTAGTATATTTACCTAATAATTATTATGGTAATTAAGTTAATAATTACCTTAATAATAGTATAATTACAATTAAACATGGATCATTGAATTTTTTATAATTATTACAATTAATTTTATGATAATCTATATTTTTTTTTTTATGTTTAAGGTGTAATACTATGAGAAGTAAATAAATTATCATTTCTATTTTTTCGTGAAATTACAATGGTAATTTTATAGTTGTTCTGAATGTTGCTTCCAGTGAAATAGCATCTTTGCTCCTGCCGGGAGGCAGGACAACGCATTCCAGATTTGTTGTATCACTCTCTTTGAATGAAGATTCAACGTGCAATATATCGCAAGGCATTGACCTTGCTGAGCTTATAATAATGAGCAAATTGATAATATGGGATGAAGCACTAATGACACACAAACACTGTTTTGAGGCTTTGGACAAAACCATGATGGATCTATTGAGGTTCGTCATACTGGGTAGTGCTGAAAAGAATTTTGGTGGAAAGACAATAGTTTTGGGCGGCAATTTTAGACATATCCTACATGTTATTCCGAAAGCAACAAGACTAGTAGCTGTCGGAGCAACTATTTATTCTTCATACCTGTGGACAAATTGAGAGGTATTAACGTTCATAAAGAACTTGAGACTACGGACCTTAGCTTCAGAGGAAGATAGACAGACGGTTGATTGGTTTTCAAAATGGATTGCAGACATCGGAGATGGGATTACAGGGGTTGTAAACGGCGGTTCATTTGATATCGATATTCCGGCACGGTTTTTGTTGAAGTGTGGACACGATCGCATAGCAACTATAGTGGAAAGCACCTTCCCAAGCTCGAGATATGACATGCTTGATGAGTCATAGCTAGAAGACCGAGTGATCCTCTCGCTGACTTTAGATATCGTTGATCAAATTAATTAGTACATGTGCGACATGAGTACTGCAGAAGGACAAACATATTTAAGTTGTGACTCTTTGTGTAAGGCAGAATCAGAAAATGCAAATCTATCAGAAGTACACACTCCTGAATTCTTAAATAGTTCGAGATTTTTCGGGTCTTCCTAATCATTCATTGACATTAAAGGTCGGTATTGCGGAACATAGTCCACTCTCTTGGTATTTGTAATGGGACGCGGCTCATCATCACAAGATTGGCAGATCACATTGTCAAAGCAAGAATAGGTAATGGGACACATGAAGGAACCAAAGTTCTTATCCCCCAATTATCTCTCACTCCTTCTGATACGAGATTGCCCTTCAAGTTCCAGTGTAAACAATTCCCGTTGATGCTTGCATATATATGTCATGACTATCAACAAAAGACAATGTCAAACACAAACTCACGTTGGGTTATTGCTAAAAAAACCAGTCTTTAATCACGAACAATTGTACGTGACTTTCTCCCAGTCACCCATCCTGATGGCCTGAAGGTGTTAGCTGTAGATGAGGATGGAAAAGATTTTGTTGCGACTACCAATTTTGTCTACAAAGAGGTTTTCAATAATGTGTAAATACAATCGTTGATATTATGTTTTTCTTTTTCAAAATGACAAAATTGCTATATATCTAGACAAAAATATATCCTCTATGCAAATGAATTAGGATAACAATTGATTACTATAACTAAGTTACTAGAGAATGATCACATTTGTCTAATTTATAAAAATCTTAAACAATGATATATAAAATCTTTAAAGTAATTACAACAAGCATGCGCACATCTAAACATTAGCTATTAATTTGAGCATTTATTTGCTCGAATTCAAACAATGATAGCATCAACAAACATAAACGATCCAGACCATAGCTTCAATTGCACTATATAATATTTGATGTTATAATTTGAATAATTGTATGACCCAAATATTTTCAATATACTATAACAAATCCATTCCGTGCATCGCACGGGTGAAAATACTAGTTTATTTTAGTAATAATATAATTACATAAAGCATAATACATATCAATTTTTTTAAGATAATTGTAGACAAACGAGTCATATATTATTCAATTAATTGAGTGATACTGTTACACTAATTTTATAATCAAATAAATGTACATTTTCAAATACTCCGTATTAAAGTTGTTTATAATTTCATCTTTAATTTTATTATCTAAATATATAATAACAATTTTACTCGTGCATCGCATGGGTAATTGGGCAATTATTTGCTTGAATTTAAGCAAGGATAACATCAACAAACATAATCGATCCAACTTATTTCATCAATTTACAATATAATATTTGTTATTACAATTTATATAATTGTATATCGTTTCAAATATTCTTAAATATTATAACAAATCAATTTCGTGCAACGCAAGGGTAAAAATACTAGAATTTTAAGAATATTTGAATCGATATACAAGTATATAAATTATAACAACAAATATTATATTTTGCAATCTATTTAATATTAAAAAATATAACAATATTAAAATTTCTATTCCTATTTTTTCGTCACTACTCAATATTGAATCAACGATATTTAGTTACTCCAATCTATTTATTCGACTTTGTTATTTACTTTTCATTATTTATAAATAAACTAATTTATTTTTTTTTGTTTCTTTTTTTTTTTTTCCTTTTAAAAGTTGATGTTATCGGATTCAAATAAAAAAAAAATAAAACGTTTGCTTTGGTGGAGTTAGAGAAGTTGCTATCTTTGTGGGGGAAGAGCCTGAAGGACTGTTCAGAAATGCCAATTTTAGACGAAACTAACATAGGTTTGAGTGAAAACATGTTGATAGCTGAAGAGTTGGCGTATGACAAGGAATCGTTGAAGACAAAACATGAAACATTGGTAACACTATTGACCAACGAGCAACAAAATGTTTATGACTCTGTGATGAATGATATTGATTCCAACGGAGGTGGATTGTTCTTTGTGTATGGTTACAGAAGAACAGGCAAGACGTTCGTGTGGAGAGCGTTATCGTCAAAGATAAGGAGCCACGATGATATTGTTCTGAATGTTGCTTCCAGTGGAATAACATCTTTGCTCTTGCAGGGAGGCAAGACGGCGCATTCCAGATTTGCTATACCACTCTCCTTAAACGTAGATTCCATCCCACATGCAATATATCGCAAGACAGTGACCTTGTTGAGCTTATAAAAAGGAGCAAATTGATAATATGGGATGAATCACTGATAACGCAAAAATACTATTTTGAGGCTTTGGACAAAGCCATGAGGGATCTATTGAGGTTCGTCATACCGGGTAGTGCTGAAAAGACTTTTGATGGAAAGACAATAGTTTTGGGCGGCGATTTTAAACAGATCCTACCTGTTATTCCGAAAGCAACAAGACCAGTAGTTGTTGGAGCAAATATTAATTCTTCATACTTGTGGAGAAATTGCAAGGTATTAAGGCTCACCAAGAACTTGAGACTACGGACCTTAGCTTCAAAGGAAGATAGACAGACAGTTGATTGGTTTTCAAAATGGATTGTAGACATTGGAGATGGGATTGCAAGGGTTGTAAACAACGGTTCATCTGAGATCGATATTCCGGCACAGTTTTTGTTGAAGTGCGGACACAATTCCATAGCACCTATAGTGGAAAGCACATTCCCAAGCTCGAGATATGACATGCTTGATGAGTCGCAGTTAGAAGGTCGAGCGATCCTCTCGCCGACTTTAGATGTCGTTGATCAAATTAATCAGCACATGTGCGACATGAATACTGCAGAAGGATGAATATATTTAAGTTGTAACTCTTTGTGAAAATCTATCAAAAGTACACACTCCTGAATTTTTAAATAGTTTGAGATTGTCGAGTCTTCATAATTATTCATTGACATTAAATGTCGGTGCACCTGTTATGTTATTGCGAAACATAGACCATTTTCTTGCTTTTTGTAACGGGACGCGACTCATCATTAAAAGATTGGTAGATCACATTGTCGAAGCAAGAATAGTTAATAGGACACATGAAGGAACCAAAGTTCTTATCCCCCGAATGTCTCTCACTCCTTTTGATATGAGATTGCCCTTCAAGTTCCAGCGTAAACAATTCCCGTTGATACTTGCATATGCCATGACTATTAACAAAAGGCAAGGTCAAACACTAACTCACGTTGGATTATTGCTAAAAAAACCGGTCTTTAATCACGGACAATTGTACGTGGCTTTCTCCCGAGTCACCCATCCTGATGACCTGAAGGTGTTAGTTCTAGACAAGGATGGACAAGATTGTGTTGCGACTACCAATGTCGTCTACAAAGAGGTTTTCAATAATGTGTAAATACAATTGATGATATTATGTTTTCTTTTCTTTTCTTTTTTTCAAAATGACAAAATTGCTATATATCTAGACAAAAATATATCCTTTATACAAATGAATTAGGATATCAATTGATTACTATAACTAAGTTTCTAGAGAACGAACACATTTGCCCAATTTATAAAAATCCTAAACAATGATATATAAAAATCTCTAAAGTTACAGCACCGCATACGTACATATGCACATTAATTATTAATTTGAACAATTACTTGCTCGAATTCATGCAATGATAACATCAACAAACATAAATGATCCAAACTATATCTTCAATTACACTATATAATATCAGAGTATTTGATGTTATAATTTAAATAATTGTATATTGATCCAAATATTCTTAATATATTATAACAAATCAATTCCGTGCATCGCACGTGTGAAAATACTAGTTAGTAGTAAAAACTAATATTTTATCTATTCCTATTAGAACAAATAGTAATTTTGGTCCAACGAGTATTAGCAAAATGACAATTTTGATCCACATGTTTAATTCTTACCAATTTTCATCCACGACTATTGTTTTAGTGCCAAAATTCTTCACGTTGGTCACTAATTCGTCTAAGACATGCCGAAATCTAAAATAATTAAGGGTAATTTCATCTTTTTCAACTTAAGATCCCAATTTGAGCATGAATAATGAGATTTAAGACCTAAGATCGATCTCAATTCGCAGTTCTTCCCCTTATCCTACCTTAATTTGAGGATAAGAACTGTGTGATAAGGTTCGGACTATATATTGTCTCATGTGTTGGTGATAATAATATTAAGGGAAACTCACAATCACTAACATTGTGATCCTAGTTGGCAAAAGACCACAAGTAGGTAAACATGCCTAAGTTACTGATAATTGACCGACTCAAACCAAGAAGATCATCCTAATAGGCCACTCCCATTGGGAGTCGAACTTGGAACCTTATTGTTACTAGGCCAACAATCTAACTAACTAGGCTAGGGTTGCCCCCATATTGATGTATTTTTTTGAAGAGATAAATTACAAATAAACCACTGAACTATTTGAAAAACAGTAATTAAGCCATCGAACTCAAATAACACCTAAATAAGCCACTGAACCCGGAAAAAAAAAAGAGCAATTAACATTTTTAACAGGTTAACTCCAAGTTTTTACTGACTGGATTGTCAAATGCTTATTTTATTTATGTTTTTTTTTTAATTATAATCTACCTACATAGCAATATATTTTAAATTAATTATAATAAAAATAGTTTTGTCTTGTCGAGATTTGATTTATTTATTTATTATTATTTTTTTCACTAGATCTTATGTTTAAATAATAATAAATGAATAAATAAATTAGATCTAGACAAGACAAAACTATTTTGATTATAATTACATTAAAATATATTACTATGTAGGTGGATTATAATAAAAAAATACGTAAATAAAATAAATATTTGGCAATACAGTCAGCAAAAACCTGGAGTTAACCTGTTAAAAATGTTAATTGCTCCTCTTTTTTTTTTTTTCGGGTTCAATGACTTATTTGGGGTTATTTGAGTTCGATGGCTTAATTGCTGTTTTCTAAATAGTTTAGTGACTTATTTGTACATTATTCATTTTTTAAATACTTAGGTGATCCAACTTTGCCAAACTAATTCTAAAACCACAGGACCCCCTGTAAAACCATAACAATAGGCATGGAATGATTTAACCAATACTTTAATCGGAAGCGTTAAAGTACTAACCTGATTCCATGAGAGAATGATGAAGCTTTCAACCCTTTCTTCTTCACAACTTCTTTATGCAAGTTTGTAGAGCGTTTTTCAGAATACTTTTCCCTCTGGTCTTTCACGTTAGTTTTCACAATGATAGGATAGGAAAATGCTTATGCCCTTTTATATTGCCTTCTTTACATAACTTACATTCCAATATTGATTATTGGAATTATGGCAATAATGGCCATAAACCAAATATTAAGTAGGCTTAAGTAGCCCTATTGAAAGCCAAAGAGAGGGGAGTAATAACCCCTTGATCCGTTATATATTTTATTCTCATTACCTATCACAACGGGATTTTAATTGTCCAGACCACTTTAATATATGGACCACAATAACATTAGAATAAAATATTCTAACATTCTCCCACTTGGTCCATGTGTATCATTGATGCATTAGGATAACTTTAATTCGCGAAATATCCCAAAACATCAATGAACCTTTACACAAATTAAAGTTAGCTAGATCATGGTTGTCGCACGTTATTTGAACAACATGTTCCCTTCCATGCATCATATGTCAACTTTAATTTCGATACTGACAACCATAGGTGCAAACAGAGATATAGCATTAATTGAATTCAACCAAGTCAATATAGCATAAAACTGAAAACCAAAATTACAATGATAACAAGGCTCTATGCAAAATTACCATACTATCCACATGACAGGAGAAGACTTTCAGTGCTAAACCTTTGGTCAAAGGATCAACAACCATAAGTTCAGTTTTGATATGCCAAATTGACACTCTCTGTTTCTGTACTTCTTCTTTAATTGACAAGTATTTCAATTCCATATGCTTAGCACCCTTAGAGTACTTGTCATTCTTAGAGAAGAACACTGCTGCGGAGTTGTCACAATAAATTCTCAAAGGTCTAGAAATACTGTCAACTACTTTAAGCCCCGAGATCAAATTCCGCAGCCATAGTCCATGATTTGTGGCTTCAAAGCATGCCACAAATCCTGCCTCCATAGTGGAAGTAGCGATGACTGACTGCTTCGCACTTTTCCAAGAAACTGCTCCTCCAGCTAATAGGAACAAATAACCAAATGTAGATTTTCTCGTATCTACACACCCAACATAGTCTGAATCAGAATAGCCAATCACTTCAAGTGGATCTGACTTCCTATATGTAAGCATGTAATCTTTTGTGCCTTGTAGATATCTTAAAACCTTCTTCGCAGCCTTCCAGTGTTCTATGCCGGGATTACTTTGATATCGACCCAACATACCAACAGCAAAGCTGATGTCTGGCCGAGTACAAGTCTGTAAATATCCCAAACATCCAACCACTGTTGCATAAGGTATTCTTTCCATTTGCTTTTGCTCAAGTTCATTTCTGGGACATTGAGCTAAACTTAATTTGTCTCCTTTCTGCATTGGAACCATTCCCGGAGAGCATTTATCCATCTTAAATCTTTCCAAGATCTTGTTAATGTATCCTTTCTGAAACAATCCTAATAATCCTTGTGTTCTATCTCGGAATATTTCTATTCCAATCACATAGGATGCCTCACCCATATCTTTCATTTCAAAGGTCTTAGAAAGAAATACTTTAACATCACGCAACATGGCCTTATTATTTGCAGCAAGTAAAATGTCATCGACATATAAGACCAAAATAGCAAACTTGCTCCCACTGACTTTCATGTAGATACACCGATCAACAGTATTTTCCACAAAACCATAAGATGTAATAATACTGTCAAATTTAATGTACCACTGTCGAGAAGCTTGCTTAAGTTCATATATTGACTTTTCTAATTTACACACCAAGTGTTCCTTTCCTGTGGTAAAAAACCCTTCTGGTTGGTCCATATATACTTCTTCCTCTAAATCACCATTTAAAAAGGCAGTTTTAACATCCATTTGGTGAAGCTCTAAATTGTAATGAGCCACCAATGCCAAGACAATCCTTAACGAGTCCTTCTTAGAAACTGGGGAAAAGGTCTCGTTATAGTCGATGCCACTTTTCTGAGTATAACCCTTGGCAACAAGTCTAGCTTTATACCTTTCGATATTACCATTAGAGTCGCGTTTGGTCTTAAAGACCCATTTGCACCCGACTCTTCTTGAATTTTCAGGTAATTCTACAAGGTTCCAAACTTTGTTGACCTTCATAGATTTTAACTCATCTTTCATGGCATCTAACCATCTTTCAGAACTGTCACTTTCAATGGCTTGTTTGAAAGAAACTGGATCCTTATCAATGCTCAAATCATTTTCTTGTTCAGCAAAATATATCACGTAGTCATTAGAAATGGCATGTCTCCTTTCTCTTGTAGAGCGCCTTAATGTCATTTCTTCTCGTGGTTCATTGATTTCTTGCTGAATTGTGATTGATTCATTTTCATTGGTCACAAATACCCTCATGTGGGTTTAGAACATTCTCATATTGTTCCGGTGCACTAGAGGATGGGAACGTGATAACCGGAACTACATCTTGAAAGAAATTTTCATGTGAAGAGGTTTCAACATGAATTTCTCGAATGTCCACCTTACGTAGTTCTGTGTTCCCACTATTTTGACCATTTTCAATGAATCGAGCATTCTCAGTCTCTACAATCCTCATACTATGGTTAGGACAATAAAACATGTACCCTTTAGACCTTTCTAGATAGCCAATGAAAAAATCACTGACTGTCCTTGGGTCAAGTTTATTCTCACGTGGATTATAC